AGACCGAGGTGCAACCTCAGCTGAACCACATCTTAGCTGGTGCTCACCAGTCAGGATTTTACTGTAGTCCAACAAAAGGTGACACCCTCACTGGCACACACTGCAGTAATCTGTGGTTATCTGAACACAGTAAGACCTGTAAGAGCTGTTGGAATGGCTCCCTTCTGTGACCCCTTGCTTCGTTCATGTTGCATTTATATTTTTCATGCTCATGGAGAAAAAAAAAGTGAGGGGAAACGCCCAAACTCTTTTAAAAAGATTTATATAGCCTACTTAAGACAAGTCCACTTAACACTCAGGAAATACATGATGTCTCCTTTCTTCTCCTCGTTGTACACACTGCCCTTCTCTCCTCATAGCCACCCAGGTCATAACGCATCCTCTTCTAGTTTTCCTGTAACTTAATCAATAAAAAACTTCCCTAGAACTCAGCCTTTCTACCTTGCACGTTCAGCCATTCATCCCCCTCTGATCCTTCAAATTTACTACCGCATCTGTACTTCACTTAGTCATCTGACGTGTTGCTGCTAAAATATATTCTTACACTCCTTGCTGTGATTACCTTCATCTCTTTGTTTCTGTTTACTAGGTTCACGTATATATTAAAAAAAAAAAAAAGAAACTAAGAAAACTAAGAGCGTGTAAGAAACAAGTGACTTAACAGGCCAAAGGTTCTTCCCTTGGTTCCTATCCTTGCGTACTAGATCTTCTGCCTCGTCCTTATCTGGGGAGCTTACACTCAGTGAGGTGCAAAGAGCTGTGAGCATTGCTACTTTCTGGCACTGTAATCTCCTTTACCAATAAATTTGCACAATTTAAGCCAATCACATAACCATCTCTTTGTCTTTTCAGCTCATAAAAATATGCACAGAAACCAAAATAAAAAGTTACTAGATTACGAAATCCACTTGAATATTCAAAAAATCCACTTGTGACGTGCCATAAGCACAAATATGCATGCAGATGCACTCCATACATTTTATATAATCAGTTGCGGTGAGAGGTGTTTGCAAATATATTTAGCTTTTATCTACCTTAATTCAAAACCCATTATTACATTATCTAATACCAAGTAATCAAAACTTTATCAATGCCTTGATCACATTAAGAAAGATTTATATCATTATAACATTTATAACAAGATTAATTCGATATTCCAAATAGTACATTCTCACCATAGGAAAGAAAAAAAACTAGAGGTGATCTAAGTTAAGGTTGCATGGAGGATGTAGGTTTGGACAAGCAACTGATAGATCATAAAAAATTGCACGGCAGGAAACTTCTTAAAGTAGTGCGTCTTAAGACCGGCAGCTTATTAGTTTCTAGTAATCCACCTACTACTGTTTGCTTATAATGACAAAAGGTAAAGAATTTTGTCACTATGATAGCATTCTCTACTAAAATGTTGATGATAGTATTTTTCCATGAGGAAATTTAAGGGTTGTCGTGTTCTATAATCAAAAAAATATTGGAAGTGACTGCTTCAGTGACTGCTTTGTGTTCAGACTTTGCAGTGTTTGGGTTTCTAAGAAGATGCAGAATTTCCAGACAGTATAATTTTGGATGTTAGCTGTGTTTCTTCCCACATGCTTGTAATCTGAACACATTCGAGATAATTTTTCTGGAAACAAGGATTCACTTTTGAGTTGCAGGCCATACTGTGCTATCCATACTTGAAAGAGAATTCCCTAGTGAAATTCGTGAGGTTTAAAAGATGGTTGGATGGCTTTTTGTCAGAGAATAATTCCATTTCTCCATCAAGTTTCACATTCTAATTGTTATCTTTGGGGGCTTGATTCAACATCACTGAAGTCAATCAGGCTCTTTCCATTGCTCACAGAGCCAATAGCATGAAATTTTCATTTGGCTTTGGTCACTACTACTTGATATTCAATATACCTTCTTTATCATTTCACTCACAGCTAGCTATGCATAGGTCATTACTGTTGACAATGTTATCATTTTAGATTATTTATGAACCTGAACAGCTATTGTTCCCTATAATTGACACAGCATACTTGTGAGCTGTTCCAGACGAACCTTTGTGAAGGCAGTCTAGTTCATATTCAAATATTGATAGGTATCTTGGCGTTTTGCAAGAAGAGGTTTCTTTCTTTCTGGACTGTGGTATGAGGTCAATAATTTTCCGTAAGTTTATGTGGGGAAAAAGTTTGTTGAAATGATATCCAGGGCCTCTTTTTAACAATAATTTTCCTTTGCTATATCTTGCCAAGATTATTTAAGCCTCCCAGTGCATATTTATAGGAAGTTTGGATAAGGATGGAAGGAGGATTCTTTTTTTTTTTTTAGCTCTCCTTCAAGGGTTTGAATTTTTCATTGCTTTATTAAAAAGAAGAATTTTCATCCTGCTGTAGCTTTTGGATACCTGCACAAAATGTGTTTTCACAGGTTACTCCAAGGTTTTTAATACAAACATTTAAATCCATATGTAGTCACGACACATGTTGAATAAATTCCTTTACCTCTGTGGTGATGGATAAACTCCAGAATCTTTTCCATCTATCTGCCCCTCACCTGAACTGTGCCCATCTCTGGATCTCCATTCAGCGCTCCGTACCAGGCAGAGGACTTCAAAACACTGCTGTTGAGTCAAAGTGGAGCTCTTCCAAGACAGCCTTGACTAACGCCTTGAGTCAGGTCCAGTGCATATTTACTGCATGCTGTGAAATGGCTTTGACCTCACCTTTGCCTTTGTCTGTCCGCTTTCATGTGCCATTGGGCTTCACTGAAATGTTCTTTTTCTTTCAAACTGCTACTTCTCTTGTATTACCCTGTAGGGATCAGATGGAGGAAAACATATAAAAATGAAGACTAGTCATTTTGTGTCTTGTCTAGGTAGAGAGATCTGAACCTTCACCAAGAGATGGTCATAACTGTATTTCTAAGATTATAACGTACATTTAAAATATTTCTGGTCATCATTACAGAAATGATGGCAAAGATTATTAGATGTGACTGATGCTTTTGAAAGTCCCATTTGGGACATTGAAAGGGTCTCACACTCCAAAGTGCTGGTACACAGCTGCTGTAAAATGAAACGCTCTACAGTTTTCAGATAGGTGCAGACAAGCAATAAAGGAAAGGCTCTTGACTCAGCTAAAGCAACCAAACAGGAGTTTAGTGGAGAGAGAGGTAGGTGCTAAGGAGAAGAAAGTCCCCTCTCAATACCAGCACTGGAAAGCACTAGTCAGTAGAATACCTCTGTAGACAGACGAGTCCTGCTCAGAAATAATTCAGGAGAAGCTGGGAGCAGAGGCCCTCACTGGCATGACACCTCATGTGGAGCGCGCTCTGCTCGGGATTTCCCAGCAGAGGTCTGTCTCATCGGAGAGCCGACTTAACGCAGTACAGCTGTCGTTCTTCGCTTCCTGGGAAGAAACTCGCCAGAGGTAAAGATTCGAGACCAGCCATGCCTTTTCCAAAGTGCATTCCCAGCAGAAAACTTGGAGGAGTTATAATAGGAAAAAAATTTTTTTTTTTCTTGAGTCGTGTGTTCTCAGAGTCAAACTGTTATGAAGGGTCTATAAACCAGTGCATACAGCTGTGCACTGGATAATCTAGATACTTATTTGTTCCCTGACTACAGTCCAGAGGCTTCTCTGTGACAACATATGAGTTCTGACTGGGCACTGGGTCTGAAAAATATATGTACGCATTGTCATTGCACATCTGGAATTGAGAATTGCTAATGGACATACTGTGATAGAAAAGAAAAGTGTCTGGCCAATAAACTTGTTTTATGTATTTATTTTAAAAAGCATTACCACATTTCTGGCTATTAGCCTTTCATCCTCTAGACTTTACACCAGTGCATCTGGAATGCTAAGCAGCTCTTTCAGAGATGCTGATATATCCCCAAAGGCACCTTTTTTATTTGAAATAATTTGAAAAACTACTTAGAAAAAAGGAAGGAGGTGTTTTCCCCTATGGAGGCTTACATACCTGGTAATTTATATCAGCTCCTACAATCTCAGAAACCACAGGTGCAACCATAACTCTCAGCCTCTCAGTTAACTTAACCTATCTTTGAGGATGCTGCTGGAAACGTGTATCTGTCTTTAAATAACGTATCTTGACGTTATTATACTAAAGAGCAATTACTTTGGAGGAGCTTGTTGCAGGACTAGCACTGGAGATTTAAGCACTTCAAGTTTCTGCCCGTTGCTTGGAATCCCCTCCTCATCACATCCACCGAACCTGCAGGCAGAACAGATGGCAGCAGTCTCCGTGCTCCTGTTCACGCTTACCAGGGTCAGAGCTTTCTTTTTGGTCACCTTGGCCTCTCCAAAGTGTCGAGAAATGGCAAAACAGGACAAATCAGACAGCTGCAAATGGGGAAAACTGCAAAAACGCTGCCTGCCCAGGCACACTCATAGGTGGCCGCCAGAAAATTAAATACCACAGTGATGCATGAAACGTATTTCAGTCAATTTAAAAGGCCCGTCTCCTCTTACTGGCCACCTTTACAGTTACGAAACACTGGCAGCCATGGCAAGTATTTCATTTCTTTATGCAAAGGTCATCATCTGAAATGCTCCCCTGCACATAGGTAGTCATTCATTGCATTTATGTTTGCTTTTATAAATCTCATCCCTTTAGGTAATGTTCTGTGCACAGAGAGTATTTTCAAGACAGAAAGCAACTCCAAGCCATTGGCAGCAAGCAGTAACCCTTTATGTTTAGTGAGGATTTGTAGGGCTGGATTACTAAAATCTTTGATAACCAGAGACACATTTTCATTTACTTCCCTCAGGATTATGAATTAGGTTTGAACTGTGAAACAAGGGGTAAAAGATCAGCTTTTTATAGCCCGACCACCGAGGTGGTTTAATGGTAGCTGTTTTGTTGTCCACAGATCGGCTTCACAGGTACGCAGAGGATATGAAAAAAGCAACCCATTAACCCCCTTCCCACCCATTTCTCACCAAAGCTCCCGCAATTGGCTTCATCAACAAAAACAGCACCCAGCACAGTCAGCACTTTATAAAGCTTTATTGCAAGATGTGTTTACATAATGCTGTAGAGGTGAGCTTTTAACTACTTATATCAAGAAATTTTGGACACAGGTCTGCGGCCAGTTTCCCGTGTTGACCTCGCATGGCACAGAAAAAAAAACAAAAACAAAAACGTGAATGCATCTTTCCACATAGTCAAGTGAGTAGAGCGTAGGGAGAAGAGGCAGAGGAGGGCTGCATTAAAAAGCAAATCCCCCTGGTTTACACTTAACGTGACAAAGCTTCTGAAGGATGGATACAAATTGTAGGTGAGCTTTCTGTGTAGTAAAACCTTAAACAGTAATTCAAGTTCTTTATCAAATAAAACTGAGAAACAAAACTGCAGTTTCATGGACAATTAAATTTAACATAAAACAAATTTACCTAAGATGAGAAAACAACAAAAATAAAAACTCAACCAAACAAAAGGACCTGTAGGTAATATCTCTGACCATGCATGGCTTGTTTTTTAAATTACAATTCACAGAATAACACTGCTGGAAAGCCTATTTTACACTATGCTACACGTAACACAAAAAAACATGAGTAGTGACATTTACACAATTTTACAGTATTTCTCCTTCGTCTAAGAAACACGTCCTTTTCTACTTTACATTTTTTTACAATTCCCAGCTCACAAAAAAGGACACTATACGCGCAAAGACAGTCTTTAAAAAGGAGAAATGCACCCAATGCTACACATAAACTTTTTCTTTCAAAGAAGCCTCTGTGTTAGATAGTGATTAAACAAAATATATCTCTATCTGCCACTCAATGTGAAATGGACTAATTAGAAATATTTTTTTGCGTAAACATAAAACTATAAAACATCTCCAAAACTCCTTGAATTACTTGCTATGCAACTATTAAATTGCTTGCCAAAAACCTCTTGATATTGCATCTGAAATGCCAATTTAGCCAGTTGCTGCCCCAAACAAAAAAAAAAAAAAAAGGTAGGCCTTACATAGTGTTCAAGTATTTGCAAATCATTTTCAACAGTGTCCAATAATCAAACATTTTCTCATATGACAATGATCCAGTTTTATTTTCTTTTTTTTTTTTCTTCAGAGCCTGCGAGTACCTGGCAGTTTTTCCTGCAGAGAAACATCAGCAGACATAGTCCTTAGATGCTGTTTCTGGTATCCAGATGTGGAAAACCAGAGCCATCTCAATACTGCACAGGGTCAAGTGCTATGCCTACATATGCACACACAACATAAGTGAAAAAGAGAGACAGGAATGGTGCTTGTGGCTCTGTCTGACTCTGCAAGCTTGCACATCCTTTAGTTAAAGGTAGGCAAAGTGTACGTCTGCATATAAGTTGTAATAGGAGGATGAGGGATGTGAAACTGGTAAGCTACCATCTTTACCCCAGGTCATCCCATTAAAATCAAGGCATTGTAGAACCACGAAGCATATACACATACGCATCTGAATGCAGACGAGCATCATGAGTCCAATTGGTTCTGAAGGATTTTGGATAAAGACACTTGTTTTTGTTACACGACAGGCCATGTCAGTGTAAAGCGGACACCCAACAAAAGAGTTGTTTCCTGGAACTACGCTGGCAGCGCGCCATTTCCATCGGCTGCATTTGCTGCATTCCTGACTTGTGCCTCATCCTCCCGGGTATGGTCACAGCACAGCACCCTGGGGATTGAAGGCTCGGTCCTGCCATGCACCAAGTACCTTGAGGGAGATCTGACCAGTCAGACCAAGACTCTGACTCTGAATTTCTGTTAAATTGGGGCATCAACTCGTATCCAGATATTCACGTGTGACTTTTTATAAAGAGAAAACCAAAGTCTTGTCCACTTGCATACCTGATTGCCTTTTTTGCTGACAGAGTCAATTAGTACTAAGATTTACAATAAAGGAGGGTTACAGAGAAAAAGAAACTTATTTTGAAAACTGCTTTTGATGATGTTTCAAATACTAATCAGAACAAGAAAGACCCTCATTAAAACATCTTTTTTGCTGATTTGGGGTTATGGATAAGGATATATCAAACAGAAGGGTCACACGTAGCAGCCAGCAGGCTATAAAACATCTGGAATCCATAAGTCTGGTGCCTGGGCTTACTAAAAGGTGAAGAGTGATGAATTTAATTTTTGTGAGGGGATCTTTCATTCTGGATTGTGGCACACAGCATTCCTTGGGGGTATTTCTTCGCCCCAGCCCCATAACTGCTACTGAAACTTATCCCTCAGCTGGGAATAAGGGAATACAAAGTATGTGCAGTCTCCTTTTAGACCAAAGGAGAGGAAAGGAAATTAGGATAGCTTCCCTTTGGTGGCCATTTCATATGCTAAAGTTTACCTCAACATCCAAATCGGGAAGGTTTTATGATGATGGATAGACAGACAAGTTATTGGCAGCAGATGGGTGCTAAAATGAACACCAGCAGTGACTCTGAGACCTTGCTGGAGAAACTCTGGGGACTACATTTGCAGCTGACTGGTACTGTGAAAAAGATAAGAGAGGTAGTTATTATGGCTGTATGCATTTAAAAATAGCCATAGTAGCAGAACCCTAAAAGAGAAATGGGAACGTTTGTCACTACATCATGTTTCCAAGACTCTCATATCTGTCACAAAAACAATCTTTATCGCACACATTTTAGAACAACCTACACTTACGATGAGATCTTTTGATGAAGAAGAGGCAGGCAGCAACTCAAAACTCTGAAGCTTACAACATGAGTAGACAAACAAATGTATGCAAATATAACCAACTCCTCCACTTCACCTGGAATCTACTGCTTAGATAAAGGGGAACAAAATTATCTCCACAGTCAGGACATTCTGGCAGACTCAGAAGGACATAATGCTGCCTTAAATATTGGCATATTGGATCATTAGCCCTTTTTATTATGAACTGAAATAGAAATCTTTTCTGTAGCTATTGCATTCTTACTGTTTTGGGCCATCTTGCTGCAGTAAACATTGGGGACATTGGAATTGATTGTACTGTATACTACTGCATAAACAAGACCAACTTATCCTTCAGGAAAATTAATACCAATTTTACAGGTGTAGAGCAAAAGCTTAGGCAAAAACACAGAAAAACACATATGGTGGAATTGTGGACAAGGAAAAATATGTTTCAGGCGTAATACGCTTGCAGCCAGGGAATCTGACTGGAATCTGCTTTTTTTTTTTTTTTTTTCCTCTCCTGAATTTATTCTAATCCCCTTCTCCATATTTAATTTCCTGCAAAATAAAGTGTATGTTTTATAAAGTTTTGTACAATTTCTGCCCAATTCCTGCAAAATACATAAGTCCAACAATTAATAATTTACCAAATATGTTACTTCCATACCGTAAGGGCTGACATTCAGACACAGGTGATGTATTATGTCTAAACGAAACGCACTTGTTTCCTGTTAGCAAGCGGTCACCAACAGCAAACTACTTTTCACATTCAGCATATTTAAATGAAAATATACAACTTTAAAAACATACATAATTTTCTCCCTCCAATCAAATATTGGACCTCTGTCAATGTAAATGCATTTTGTTGCATTTGGGCTTCTTTTATCACTTTTATCACACAGGTATAACAGTTCAACATAGCCATTACATTCGGGTCTCTTCCTCTTGTTTCAGACCTCAGGACCTCCACAAACCCCCATTACCTTCATCTCTTTGTTCTAAGCATCCCTAAAAAAGATTTTAAAAGTTCATAGAGGTGAGCAGCACATAAAGATTCACTTTAAAATCCAGGTGCTATTAGGTTTTGTTTATTTTACAGTGAGATTAATTATGTGCCACTTCTTTCGGTTTCCTGACCAGCTTTCTGTTTTCATAGCTTTCAAATGCACAATACTTTTCATTAATTACACAACTATCGCCTTCTATCTGCTTATAAAATCGTCTTTTTAACAAACTGAGGGGAAAAACACATCAACTCGATGCCCTCTTTGAAGAACCTGTATTCATTATAGTGACTTTTTACCCTACAGACTTGACATTTGAAGATCCAAGGCAATGGTACATAGAATGAAATGTTACGATCAGGAGGGGAGATAGCATAGATAAAATTTTTCACCACGTATCTCATTGCAGTGTTGCCAGCTACCTGGTTTTCTAATCTCTTGGATGCTGTGTTCAATGTCATGTAATGGATGACCAAGGTTTCAAAGGTTTATCCTGTTTGGTGCCGCTATCCTGAACAATCTTCAAAGATTATCCTGTCCGTAAGGGGAGCAGAGTAACAAGGATAACTTGTGGACATACCTGACCTCGCTTGGCTGCCAGAAGCAACACAGCTATGACATTAGGAGTCCAGAATAGACTAATTACCCCTATTTTTCACGTGTATTTTGCAGCTAAAATTGAACCCTATGTTGCCATGACTAAACTGCTGCGGTTCCCCTGTTAACAAGTCTGAAGGAAGCCTCAGCTATGACTGCTATGCAGCCATACACTTAGTCTTAGAGGCTAAGGCAATGGCATCTTGTCAATCAATCAATCGGTCACATACAGGCTTTGGTTCAGAAAGTTCCCTTTTACATTACTGTTACTTTGCAGTTTTCTTCAAATGCTTCAGCATTGGATAGGATGACTGTGTTCGATTCACCTCCACGGATGTGAATGTCCTCCACTTAAAGGCAAATAAGTTGAGCAAAGGTTCTTCAAATACATGCTGAAGACGGTTATAAAAGTTACTTATAAAACAATGAGATAAGGGCAAACATATTGGCGTGTTCACTGTGGTACTCTCTCTCCTTACATCAAGGATAATCACAAAAAAGAGTACAGAACAGCAAAACACAGCAGGCTTTTAGCAGGGCTGTTTCATATTCAGATCAAATTAAAAAAAAAAACTGAAATAAAATCACCACCACGTTATCTTGCAGCAGAGAAAAGCAGCATGAAGGGCATAGGCAAGTGAACAAAACTTCTTGATCTTAACATCTGAATGTATTTATCTAGTGTGTAAATTGTTGGCATAGATTTCTTTGAAACTGCACAAATGCACAGCATACCCAGAGCTCAACAAGAGGGAGGCACTCTGTGTCCTCTCTCTGTGTGCGTGGTGCTATGTACAGTATGAGTGTGCATTAATACACACGAACTCAGGATCCTAAACTTTTCACTTGTATTGCAGGCCATCTGCTGCCCCACAGGCTGAACTCCATTGACTAACACTGAGTTCCTACCAAAAGACATTTTGTCTTCCTGTCCAGGTGGAACGCTAAGGCCCCTGGGTGAAAATCACTGTCCCATTAACTTCAGCAGAACATGATTTCACACCACAACTATACGCATATAGATACACGTGCACGTATCCACACATTCATTCTGTACATATACAAAGGTACACATACATTTTTACATTCTTTGGTGGAAAAATTTGAAAAAAAAAAAAAAAAAAAAGAGGGTTGCCCAGACTGTGCACTTTTGCTTAATTAATCTACTTCACAAAGATTGGGGTAGTTGCAACAGGAATTATTCTGCCTCTTTAAGGACTGTTCCTTGCATTGACAAAATGCCATACTTTAACAATGACTAAAACAGGGCACAAGGAAAGCCAACATAATAAACACAGCTCACAATGAAAGATAACTCAGAGAGAGCTCCCTCGTACCCACATCAACACATCGTGAGAGAAGAAGCCATAAGCTTTCACCTACGAGCACCCAAACGCTTTCTTCGTTACTGTCAGATGTAGTGCCTAGCTGTGCCACACCCTTCTTCTGCCCTGGTTGTGGGTTTTCTCTTTTTGTTTCTTATTAAAAATGAACTAACAGAGGACGGGACATTGGGAGCAGCAGACGAGGCTGGCAGGACAACGCCGCACCGAATGACTGTCAGCCTGAGTGGTACAGATGACGGCTCTTCTCATCGCCACCTCCGGGACATCAAACCTGCATCTCAGAGGTGCTGATCAGGCCCAGTGCTTTGGCTTCTTCCGGTGTCAGTCCACTCTTTAGCGTCCTTCTTACTGTATGGTCATAAAATCCCAAGGCAGGCCAAAAAAAAAAAACAAAAACAAAGACCCAAACAATTAGAAATAATAATTACACAAGGCTTTCAGCTGAAAAACAAACTCTAACATGCAAGCTGAATCAAACCAAAAGTTGCTATGTACTCAGGGCCTCAAATTCAGAAATACTGAGTAATGCCCTACGCCAAATCATTGGGAACATCAAGTACCCAGCAACTCCAAAAAACTATGGCATAAAAACATTTGTCATTTGACATTCAGTCAACAAAAACTTCTAAGGAAAAATACCACAGCATTTTAAGAAAATTTGCTCTCTAAAATTGTGTCAGTTGGTTCTCAGTCCATAGACAGAATTATCTACCCTATTATTTTGTACAGTTTCATAAAGAATTTTTAAAAGACCTATTGGATCTTTATAGGGCTCTATTGAATTTATCCCTATTAAATCCTATGAGGCCCTTCTACAAGGTGTAAAAAAACCAAAAAAAGATTAAAATGTGACAACTTTGTTGTCAGTTCCAGTCCTTACAAATAATGCCCTCATACTTGCTGCCCTTTCTTTTGCAATTCCCCTGTCCTACCTGCATCTGCATCATCTTTGTCATTACCAGTCTGCAGCATTTTAGCTGAATTTAAATGATAAACTAGGTCAAAATATTGTTTCTTATTTTGCTACAAAGTTGCCTGAACCCCAGCTGTGACATAAAACTTTTAAAATTTTTGTTTGCCTTTTGTTTTCAGACACAAGGGACTATGCGACTAAACACACTAAGCATCACTGCCTTCCTAGTTTTTCTGTCACCATGGTTTTCAGGTGAATGCACTTTGGTTCAAGGTGCAAATGGAGAAACCCAAAGTGTCTGTTCACTCTACATTTTTGTTATCCCCTCAGTACAACATTGGCATTTACAAGTTTATGCTGCATGCAAAGTGTAAATCATGTCTTATGTAGAACAAAATAAATTCAGAGCCCCAAACAATGAAGAAATCTAAAGTATACCCTAGAGAAACTGTTTACAAAAGTGGTTAAAGACTTCTTGCATTGCTCTCACGTTGTATAATTAGGATCTCCAGCTTATTAAGAGATTTACTCTGTGCAACTGAAACTGGGTGGTCACATTAAAGGGTCTAGCAGCAGTGAGAGGAGCGAATGGATTGGCATGGAAAAAAGGAGATAAGAGAAAGGAAAAGTATGGGGGATTTGAACATTCTGCACCATGCAGGTAGGATGAATGTCATCTATGTTTAGCAGTCAAGCTACTTTCATGAATTACTGAGGATAATTAAGTGAGCCAGGAGTGCCACACACGTAATTGTTCCTCCTCTGTCAAACCCTTAGTTGAAGGTGTTTCTTCAAGGCTCGCTCCACCCTCCCATAGTATTTGCATAATTTATTAAACACCACTAGGCACCTGCTTGGCTGCCTTTTATGATATGCAGCTCTCCCCACTTTTTCATACAGTCATGATCAGCAACATCTACCAAGTTTAACAGTGCTTAGCTTAAAGCAGCACAACACCAAATGCAAATGGTAAAGTAACATTAAGAAAGACTAAAAAAGCGCTACTGGAAGAGGGAAATACTTCAATGCATGCCTTAGTCTCTCTTCCATGATGCACAACACCCAATACAGAGTTTTAAGTCAGTCCTTAACTTTTGTATGCTTTTTGACTCCCCAAATTTGATGTCCAAATATCCACAGTGACAAACATCCATTTCCAGCCGTGACTTATGAAACACCTTAGGGTTTTATAGCCTCGGTGAATCACACGCTATTTACTTCTGTATCAAAATGAACTATATCAGGGATGAAAGAACGCAAGCAAGAAAGCTGCAGCAGAAACGTTCCTGTCTCATCAGAAGCGAAGGCTTCCCTGAGTGGATCACCTTCTGAGCTGCCAGCGCTGCTGCTCTCCTGAACATGAGTTCCTTTCTACACTCTCTGTAACACGCAGCCAAGCAGGTATCATAACTAGCTTGGCTTTGCCAACAGAGCGGTGTTAACATGGACTAATACACATTGATTTTCAGAACTAATTAGAGACCAGTCCAAAATCTCTGCTGCCAAACTCAAAGGGGGATTGGACCTTGCTCCCTAAGAGATTATTCCTCTTCTGTGGACATGAATTATCTGGAACAGCTATATTGTTGCAGTAATGAAACTGTCAATCATAAGAAAAAATATATGAGTACAAGAGACTGAACTTGCACAGGATAACTCCCTAGAGTACAGAACCTCTAAAAATGAACTAGAAAACAAGCTAGAACAAATTTCTGCAGTTTAGATTGCTCTGTAGAAGCGCCGAATTAAATGTATTCATGATTGCTCTCACGCATATGTACCCACTTCACTCAGACCACAACAACCTTTGTAAAACAAAGCTATTTTCCATACCACATGGTAAGACAGGAGGAATGAGAGAACAAGCAATCGTTATTTCTATTTGCAAATATTTAATAGGAACTGAGGTACTCTGCTAATAGTGGTCACACACTGTATAAAATAGAACACACAAAATTTGATCTTATTTATGCCACAGTAACTCATAAAATGGTTGAGGTTGGAAGGGACCTCTGGAGATCACCTAGTTCAACCCCTCTGCTCAAGCAGGGTCACCTAGAGCATATTGTCCAGGACTGTGTTCAGATAGCTTTCAAATATCTCCAAGGATGGAGACTCCTCCACCTCTCTGGGTAACCTGTTCCACTGCTCAGTCACCTGCTTGGTAAAAAAGTTTTTCCTTATGTTCAAATGGAACTGCCTGTGTTTCAGTTTGTGCCCATTGCCTCTTGTCCTGTCACTGGGCACAGCTGCAAAGAGTTTGGCCTGTCCTTTTTACACCCTCCCTTCAGATATTTAATTCCTGGGACACATGCAGTTGTAAATAAGCAAAATGGTCTCTTTTGCAACCTCTCAGTGTGATTGTTCTATTATCTCAGGTATCTCAGATTGTTATCTCAGGTCTCTCCTAAAACACAAAGAAAGATGAGTTGAATTTAAGACATCTCAGTGACTTGAGCTTTTAAGGTCAGCAGTTACGAGGAAACAGATCCAAACAATGTAAGACTTTGGCAGTTGCAACGTGACTGTTGAGAAGATGGTTAATAAAAAGCAAAGACATAAAGAATCTTTTCAGTGACAGAAAGGTTCCCATAAACACAGTCAGCTGCTGACTTGTATAAACTAAGCATGTGGGGCCAAATACTGCAAAGTACAAAGCTGTCCACCATCAACAGACAACCTGAGGGATCACAGCTGACAGGATTATGGTCCAGACTGAAATGAGTGAATTCTTGCCCCTAATATGCAAAAGGCCAGTCTTGCACAGCTGAATACACTTGTAGTGTGCACTATTTTGTACTTAGGTAAGTGAAAGTGGCCTGATAAAGGATCTCTCTATATGAAAATTAGATATAATATGTGCAGATTACTAACATCAGAAGACACAGCTGAAGGATGCAACTTTTTCAGTAGTACCACAAGAGCAAGTTCCTGCCCCGTTGTACTCTCTGCACTGGCGTGGGGATGAGGAGGCCAGGAGAAAGCTGAGTTTCTCTACAGGAGCGGGGACTGCACTGGGACGTGGGCGAATCTTGTCTTGATATGGTGTTAAACAGATGTCCTCAGACTTTTTTCTGTATCCTCATAATGCACTGAGTTCCTTTACATTACAAGAGGTTATGAATGATTTCAGTCATCAAAATTGAATGCAAAGAGACATTTTCCTTCCATGTTTTATAGGCCTTGAAAAATTAGGTTTCTCAAACTAGGTCTATACTCTCCTCTCTTCACTGAACTCTGTCGTGTCTCTAACTGGACTAGACATAATATCTTGGCTTGTAAAACTCTTGGCCTGCTGCAGATCACATTAAACTGAGTTATGGAATGTATTTTAGAGGCAGTGACAATAAAAATAAGGCTTTCAAATGACCTTTTAGGTTCTTTAAGCAATTTTTAAAACATTTGCTAAAGAAACATAAGATAGAGAGAAATAATTTTTATTCTTGTCACAAGCAAGGCCTGCTGCAATCCCATAATCAAGAAACCACATGTCATATTTAGGGGGTCAGAGGGTATGAGGTTATTTGCTCATCAGGAAATCAAGAATTTTATTTGATATCCTGGCAGAATGCAGCATGCTTATGATGAACTTAATGAATTTGACCATGTCTGTTGGGTCAAAAAACTACATAGATACATAGCCCTTGCAGAACTACGGTTTTTTCAAAAAGGAGGAACTGCCCTAAGCATAGCTTTGTCAAAGAATATAACTAATTTAAATAGGGGTTAGTAGATTTTTAAAGGGCAAACAGCATCCCTGATTTCCCCTCCCCCTACTTTTTTTTTTTTTTCTGTCCTTAAGTAAGGGGCAGTAAAGAAAAGCCCAGCTGGTGCCATTTATTCTTGCATTTGCAATGGCTTTTGGCATATGTGTCTACAGCATTTCTGTGGACATATCATTTGAAATGCATAGGTATGACCATTCTGCTGCTGGAGAAGTCACAGAATTTCATATCATTCTTACTGTAAAAGGATGTGGCGCTCACAGGACTTTCTTCAGGGCCCAGCTGCAAAGGTAACGCAGTTACTAGTTGCTGATTTGAAATGAAGAAAACTGTAAGTGGCTGTAAGTTACATAGAAAGGACAGCAGGAAAATCAGATTATATGAGGCAACACTGGTGAGCTCCATCATCCCATTTGCTACCCTTCCACACACAGCTCATACACTCAGTCTATTTTCTGATATATGTACATTTAATATATCGTCTTGGATTTTACACAATGAGTCCAGCAATGGCAATCTGCAATATAAAAGCTTAACCTAGATACTCTTATTTATTCCTTTTAATCTTCTTCTGCATTTGTGAATTTTTTTACATCACTATCTGTAATCTTGCAGTAAGCAGTAGTTACTCTCAAGTATGCTCATATCGTTGGTTAGCATGAGTAAGCCTAAATTGTCAAAAGCAGTATGTGCAGAGTTTTTGAGTTTTT